GAATTGCCTTATCTTTTAGTTTTGTTGTCATTCACACTACATTTCTTTTGTATTCCATGCAGTTCCACCAGAGTGAAAATTTCTTCACAGATGGTATGCAAGTCAGATCAAGTAAATATTCTCTGAAATATTTTAGTGATGGATGAACGAATTAAGTCCAAAAGACTGTGTACTGATCTACTTTTTGCGAGAGAGATTCATGTCCAATTGTGTCGAACATAAGCCAGACACATGGTGACTGGTGATGTAGAGTTTTTTTTACTTCTAAAAATGGGATTTTAAACAAATTGAAATCAAAACTTGAAATAATTATGGAAAAGAGAATGCTTGATACTTGTCAACATAAGTATATTCTGTAATCATTGCAAGAATCTATTAGAAGAGACATATCTGCAATCCTTTTGGATATTACTGCATTGCATGTGAGGTTAGCACTATTACCAAGATATATAGGAATAAAATACCATGATTTTTGTTTCTAAGAAAGAAAATTATTGTTATTTAACTTGCACACACTACAATATGTAGTACTCTTATTATTGTATTGTGCCAAGCTGTGGAGCTTCTCACTATAGTTGGCTGAAGGTGCACTTTTTGCAGGCTGGAGGTATTGTAAGACTTAAAAGGACGGGGATTTCAAATTAATCATTAATTGATTATTTATCCAAAAAATAAGATCTAGTGGTGCAACATTAGGTTTGTGAAAGGAGTCTCAAGCTAGAAGCTATAATTTTATGTATATGTAAGGGAAGCCTTTCCAAAAAACATTGTAAAATGGATAGGGTTTTGACCTCCCTGTATAAAATGTTACTTCCCTTCCCCCTCTCCATGGACACAGTTATATGGGAAAAACTTATCAATTGTAAATGAAACCATCCCCTTCACTTCGGGTTGAAGATCGACACAAAACTGTCTGAAATGATTCTTATAATATTGAAGGAAATACTTTTCTTTCTATAGATTTCCCATTTACCAGCCATCTAAAATCAAATTGTTTATGTTTGACATAGCTTAAAGTAAACAAGATTTTGCCAATATCCATGTCTCACTTAGGTGAAATTGGGCAAAATGCTCTTGGCAGTCTTAGCATTCTCAAGTTGATTGTCTAAAATATATGTCAAAGTCATGTACTATAATATTTGCATGATTGTTATACAGCTGTTTTGTAATGTTAACTGAACAAGGACTAGGCTAAGTGGAAACCTGTTCTGAATTGTAATTTGGTAGGTACATAGGTGTGTAACCGAAAAAAAGAACAAGAAGAAAAAAAAAAAAACCGTAAAAAGTAGTGTAAGAATTGTACTCTAAGGAAGTATTNAAAAAAAAAAACTGAACAAAGACTATAACCAAATTACCTTGACCCAAAATGCACTGCTGACTCACTAATAAAATATTATACATATATTATAACCAACACCAGTGACTAGGTGTCAGTTTTGGAGTGACTGGTGAATATGGTGAACTCTCATTTAATGATTTGATTTTGCAACAGACTGTTGTTATTCTTTGATGCTATATCATGTACAAGTTAATATAATAACAATGTTCCTGTTCCAATCAAAATTAATTAAATCCATTTTGAAATTCATAAGCAGTCTGTGTAAACAACCTGTTATTTGATTTCTGTATTTCTTTTCTATTTCGAGAAGTCTGGATTTGAGCCCTGGCAGGGGAACATTCTATTGTGCTCTTGAGCAAGACACTTAACTCTCACAGTGCCTCTCTCCTCTCAGGTGTATAAAATGGGTACTGGCAAATTAACTGTTGAGGGGTAACCCTGCGATGGACTAGAATCCCACCCAGGGGGGAGTAGAAATACTCCTAGTAGCTTCATGCAACAGAAACCAGGATAAGCGCTGACCGCATGAGTGGCCACTTGGCTTGTATGCAGACTTTACTTCCACTTCCAAGTTGCCGTTTGCCTCTTTTTCAGAACGAGTGCTCCTGTAAAGTGTTTCACATCAAGATGACTCGATTTTCATGAGAATGAATGTACAGGTGACATACATTTCATACGAATAGCCACTCAGACTCGCTTTGACATAGACGCAAAAGTCAACTTGGAATTCGCCTCTGTATCCATGAGCTGGCTCAGGGAGCCTTTTATTAAAGGAGTCGGGCATTTGTCTTCGGCGTATTTCACTTACAGAAGGATTCATTTCCGTATGGGTGGGTTGCTGAACCGGATTATTTTATTCGCAAATTTCCCGCTAAAAGCTAGAAAGAGGCAGGCGTTACAAGTAACAAGTACCAACTCGGTACCAGCTCGCTCAGAGTATTTTGATTGGCGTCCAGTGTATTTTTCGGCCTAGACACTAGTAGTCGTCACGTAATTAAACGTCTGTTTACACAATAATGGTCACGATTATCACGCTACCCGGATGCATATCGAATACCTATAAACTACTTACCACACAATAGACCATTTTACAGTTGTCTGCTCAGTGACCTGGCCTTTGAATGGCAGTGAGGCTAGAGTTGACCTTGTTTTGATACAGACCTCACTGCTTTTGCTGTGTAAAACAAGTTGTTCTGATGCTAACTAGGTGCATTTACATGACAAAAGCAGTGAGGTCTGTATCAAAACAAGGTCAACTCTAGCCTGGCTGCCATACAAAGGCCAGGTCACTGAGCAGACAACTGTAAAATGGTCTATTCTACAAAACTGGAGGGACTTAGATTGTAAAAGAAAAACAGCGGCAGATCGAGAGGGTTTTTTTTT